ATCTGTAATGAGTTAATAAAGAAACATTAGATCCCCCCAAAACCCCAAAACCCCATGATTATGTAATTTATTGAAATTGAGAACTTTAATTTTAATTTATTGATATCTAATTCTTAATCTAAATAAGCAAGAATCTTCAATTTCGCTACTTGTTAATTTGTCTGAACTACTCAAATAATGTCTTAAGCTATTGAGTCTTGGATCTCATTAGCATTTGATAGCTGCCATCTTCCTCTTCCTTTGATTCAAATTTATAGTTTTTCCTTCCTTTTGAGTTTTTCTTTAGTGGGCTAAGATTTTATACAGAATTAATGCCTTCTTTCTAGGCTAAAAATGAAGACTCAAGCTATTTCTAATTTGATTCTTGCACTATGTTCAAATATTTGGAAAACTTTCGCTTGCTTAAGTAATACTCACTTGATTCATTGAAGTTATCAGAAGTCTTACTAAATTGACTGTCAATCATTTAAGTTATCTATTGCTTTAATCTCGGGTAGACTTATAGGGGTTTAACCCTTTCTGAATATGGGTTAAATTTACCACCATTAGGACTCTGACTTTCCTTTTTCAATAACTCTTCAATGTATTTTATCCTCTTTTTTGAATTTCTAGCTGGCTTGAAAATATTTTATTCATCAACTGTCCTCAATGGTTCATGGGTAAATTCAATTGTCCTTGGTTCAAGACTCCTAAATCTTTCTTTGAAGTTTTCTTTTGTCATGCAAGTATTGCAATTTATGTCTTTTAAATTTTCAATATATTCAGTATCCCTTTATATCTCAGTATCTAATCTCTTAGATGAAATTGAACTAAGATTATAATGTGAGGAGCCTTATTATCTTGAGCTCAATTTAGGCAACATAGAAGGTATATGATTTTTCTAAAGCTTCTTGAAAGCATTCTTCCACTCCACATCATAAATGGACATATTATATGGTGAGACTGAGTTTAATATATCAGGATTGCAATCTCCATCTTTTATCATAGAATCCAAAAATGATTGGCCAGCCTTTACAATGTCTAACTAATCTTGAATAACATTCATCCTCAATCCCACAGATCTGGGTTGCTTCATTTAGTTCTTAAGTTTACTGAGTAATATTTCATTTTTAGTTATTTTTGCCTGTCCTTCAACTTTAATTGCAGATTCTTGCTTTTATTATTGATAGTTGTCCTCTTAAAATAAACCTCTAAGGAAAGTCTTTTTGGGGAATTCCATTTTTCTATCTTTAGAATGATATAATGTACTAAAACCCTTAAAACTTTGGCTTTTCTGTTTAAGAGATTGCTCATTTAAATCATTTTTCTCCGCGAATATGCCTTTAACCTATAAATCCATATTTTCATTCTGCTCGTTAATAAGATCATTGCTATTGTTCCTTATAGCTTAAAAATGTGGGATAGTCCTAGCTGTCTGCGATTAGTTTTAGTTTACGAATAGATTTTATTGAGAGAAAACGGACCTTAGTTTGTTTATGTTTTTTATATCCAATTTCTTTATTTTTTGTTGTGATGCTTATGTTCTTAAGAACGAACTATTCTCCAATTTATCTAGATTTTTATTTGAATCTGATTGCTAATTTGATTAGCAGAAATCGTTATAGAGGTTAATGCTTTAGTATGTCGTATTCATCTTCGAAGTGTCCATTTATTTTTATTGTAAATTTAAGTAATCTTTTTCAATCAAAGTTATGCATAAATTCTTTGATATTAGGGGGTTTTGGGGTTTTGGGGTTTTGGGG